TACAAATATCGTTCTATTATGAAACCGCGGTTACACGAGTCGATGATCCATTGACATTTACTCCTTAAAAATAATAAATAATACAAACAGCTCGAAAAATAAATACTATTATTTAAAAAAAATATTTATAAGTAATAGAAATCATTTCTTATAGTAACTATGAGTACCTAAACGCTAATTAATATATAAGATAATATAAATTTTTATTATAAATAAAAAAATAAGTACGATGTCAATCAGTATTACGAGTAATTATGTATTACTATACTTATAACTATAAGTATTATACAGAATATATTATGTTAACTAAAATAGCTCTTTATTTTTATGTTACAACAACTAATATATATTTTATAACATTTTTTCGTTCAACGCCTTTTCAAAAATATAATAATTTTGATGTATAGCTTTACATCTACTTACAGGATACTAAAACCACGAATAATTATAAAACTACGGGATTCGTGAAATGTGTATTTAATATTTATTTTATTTATAAACTTTCAACCATATTGTTTTAGGAGTACCATTTGAAGTAAATATATGTAGCGTTTTTAAAATTTGTCTAGGATTGTGTGTGTGTCTACTGTCCGGCTATATTTAAAGAACTCGGTTTTCGAAACAGAAAGCGATAAAAACGCAGAACTTAATGGATGTATTTTTTCTCATGTAAACCCCGTCAAACGACTAGGACCTTTGGCTTCGTAATGTAACATTCACCTCCGTCCAGTATTACTGCCACATAAAATCTTGTGGCAACGAGCAAAAAATGTGGTTTAGTGCAAATAAAAATAAAATAATGTCGGTGATTTCGAGTTTCCATCAAAAGGAGTTTTATAAGCGACGAACGATTTTCCATATGCTAAAAGACGCTCGTGCGAAATTCATATTGTTATGCTTGAAAAAACCAATATTTGGTGTAACGTAACGATATCAAAAATCTTCAATCGAGCACTTACATTTGGAGAATTTTAAGAATAATATATGACATTATTTTCGAACGACAAAATATATTTTATAATTAATTTCATATAATGTGTTGAAAATTTTAACTGTCAATATTTTTTGTAGTCCATTACACGGAAGAACTATTTTTTAAGTAGCAGATTACACTATTTTATTCACTGTACACACAACACTGATAGAGTTAATATATACCAATATTAATACTTCTAGTTGATATACTAGTTTATTTGTGGTCAGAAAAGTTTCTTATTTTTTGAATAGGTACCTTTATTTCATCTCGTGGTAACTAATGTTATTTTAGTGCAAATACTATAGTCAAAACTCAATTGAATGATCCAATTTTGAACAAGTTTAAAAAAAAAACCTGATTTAATGTGTCACTATTTTTACATGTTGATCTCATTTTGGCCTCACTTTCATCCTACTATAACATATCCCATGATATTAATATTTAAAATCGAAATAATGCTATTTTCTCAGGTTGATCGCCTTGATCAAAGCCCAATATATGATCTGGATTGAGTGCCATGTAATGTCGATGAAATGAATCGGTGATGCATATTGAATTAACCCATAAAGTTACGTTAAAACATTATGAAATCGATACGACGTATTGATATTTCGATTTATGTGTAGAATTCAACGTTTCTTTGTGGCAGGTCTCTAAATGTTTGGCACTGAACAATACCTTTCGTGTCCAACTGAAAATCGTCGGGGTGCAGTATCGGAAGTAGGTTCGATTTTTTTTTATTGATATTTTTTTTTTTTTGGCACACGACCATTGTGTTATCTCGCTGATAGTTAGATACACACTTCGATTACAGTTAATTATAGCTATCGTCACTGCTGAGGCAGATTTTGACTTACCCCGAAGGCTGGGAGACATAGATAATAACGATATTGCACTGCAGCTACTTACTGAATACTATTGTATTGTCATTAGGCATACTGCACAGCAATTAAATCAATCCTATTAACTATCAGAATATCAACACCCCACACAATCGCATTAAAGGTGTTTGATTATTCAATTTCCAAATAACTTGTCCTCGTTTATTCACAACGTGGCCATAATAATTGCTCTATTTATTCGAGTCGTATATCCTCCTCTGTGGTTTAAAATTTAAATGTATTTCCGACAAAAGCATGATCCGATTAGGCATGCAGTATATCATAATATTCATGGTATATCTATTGCTTATTACCGAACGCTTGTAGGTACTTAATGCAACATTATCAATATTCAATATGTTACATTAGCATTTAGCATACAGTTTGACAATTCACTAACCAAAGAATATACATAAATGGTTGGTTGATCACATTTTTTCATACTAATACTTTATTAAATTAATTATATTATGTTATTCAGTTTTTTAAAAAGTTGAATATAATATATTGAATACCTGGTCAAATGTGTAGTTATGGTTTGTAAGACACAACCAATCACGGTAGTTGCGATATTATAATACGCTTTTCGTATAAATACTTAAAAAGTATCTCCAGAGTGGCCATGGCATGCGTGGTGCATTTTTGTAAAAAAAAGAGTCATCTAGCTAGTACTTAATTTTCTAAAATTTGAACCCTATAAATACCGTGTTTAATATAAATGATATAATTTTTATGTGATTTCATAAATATGAACGATGACTACTCATTCATGGTTATTCCTCTTTGTTCGGTTCTTTGAACATTTTACCTTTTTCTAAAAATCAAACAGTATTATATTTCAATATTATGAGTTATGGCTACCTATTTAGTGTTTAATCAACCAAATTGTATTACCTATGTAGTTTAGTTTTATTTATATATGTTGTATTTTTTTCGCTACTCGGTTATGTAATACATATCGATGTATCAAAACAATATATTTTCATTAATACGAATAAGAATTATCATGGTTTTCAAATTGCAAAATCATTTCGCAACTAATTATTTAAATCATATTTCAGTCAAAAATAGTATGCGTATTATTTCCTAGATATATATTAGTATGTACAGTTATATATTCATAGGTTCATAGTTATTATTAGAATTAATTTGATAACTTGAAATAATGAAAAATATATTTAGCGCACGTATATAATATTATGTTATATATAAGACGCGAAACTCTCAATTATTTTAAAATCCACGAGACCAAACTGAAATACTTACATCTTAAATTTAAATATCGTAAAAATAGATATGAATATTGAATATCGTAATAGAAATCAGTTAAATATTTAGGTTAGGTTAGGTATTACATTAAGTGACTTAAAAAAAAAAATAATAAACTGCCTCTAATTATACCAGTCTGTGTTCTGTTATTGTGTTTGTGACGTCATGTTTGATGTCTTATGCGAAAGTACGCATTGAGTACAACGTGTAAAATAATACATATAATCCTACTCTTGAAATAATATCTATGTATTTTAAGGTACAGTCCTATAAAGATAATAGTATGTAATTGATAAGATAACACGTGTATTTTATGCTAGTCTTTAAAAATTAACCTAACATTAAGTTTACACATATATACATAATAAATGATTGATACGTTGTTGTAGTAAAAAAAGACACAGTAATGAAATTGAAAAATGGTTAGCCGGGAAATATGATGGTAGGTTGATAGTAGACACTATAGTAGCAGTAATTAGTGGTGTATAAGGATTATAGATATATATGATAATGGAATAATTTAAAACTGCTTCGATTCGGCGGTTTGATGGACTGTCACAAATTATTAATGAAGGGTTAACGTGTATTTATTCGTTGTGATCCTTTTGTTTGAATGTCGTGGAGTGTCAATGCTGGTTACACTCAATCGTATCGATGACAAATTACGATGGAATGGTATGTATAATATATATACAACCAAACGCTAAGGTACATTGACTATGGGTATCCACTTATGTTTGAGGTCATTTAAAATGTCTAGTAGTTTCGATTCTTTATGGTTGGCGTGCGTGCTTATTATTATTCTACTACTGTTATTTTATAAGATGTGTAATATTGTATACAATATTTTCTTAATGCGCTTATACTAATGTTGTGTGCCATATTATCGTGATTGCAGAGATATATCTTAATGGGGTCGGGTTCGATTCTCGGTATTCAACTACAGTAATATTATGAGCAATTTAATTGATTTGTATGCAGAGTTTGTAGTAAAATTATAATAGTATTAATTGCTGTGACTTGTTTTTCTAAATTATTTAGGATACTAAGTTAAATTAATTTAATATGCATATTGCATATGCTAAATAATAATTATATAATACTAACCAAATAATAAATACAAATTAAATATAGTCTGAACAATAATATAACAAAATAACTATGTTGTTATACTTAAGATAAGCAATAAATGCAATACTTAAATTACATTATTAAGCTAGAGAATACGTAGACTTTATAGTCTGGAATCAAGTGTGGATAGTGATGGATAGTTTAATAAGAAAATAACTAATAAGGTTAATCATCCCAAATAGACAGTCCAACGATCATTGCCAAATGTCTAAATAACCCGGTGAATGGGAATATGAACACACAGCCGATATTTATTCAAACGGGAAAATGTCATGTTTCACAACCGATTCCAGGAATGGTAGTGTGGACGATATGTAATATGATGTTTTGACGATAAAACACTGTGTTGCTTTTGTGTTTGATTAGGTATATGAATCTTTGTATGGAAACAGTAGGGATCCACTTTACATTAATAGTGTGCATCGGTCGTACGAAACGTTTAGTGCATATGATATGTGTGTGTATTTTAGAACAAGGTTTGGGGGCGTTTCTAGTAGTATAAAAGCTTGGGAAGCGTCAAAACAGAGCGGTTGATCGTAAATACGAATGGAATGTCTGTTATGTATTTGTGTGTTGTTCTATATATGCGGTGTTGAGGACGTCTTGTAGTTTACTATATTTTTGTCTATTTATTTACATTTTAAACGTATCAAAATATTTTATATTATACATATTATAAACATAATATGCAATTATTTTTACTAAATTGTATTTATAATAATTATTCGTTTCATTTGTTTCAGAACTTGAAAAATCAGATTATGACCACCAATTTGTGGGTAGAGCAGGTAATGTTTGTATTTCCATGACTATTATCTATAACTTGTCGGGAAAATCGAAGTATTATACGGCCATTTTATATCTGCAAATAAATCACTACTTGATGAGAATTTTTTTTTGTCCCTTAAGTGCTCATGTCATTGTATTGGAGCATGCTGTGATATTCCTATATAGGGCTATCGAGCCCTCTGCCGTCCATCCTTTACTTCACTGTGTCGGCAATCAATACACCCCATTGTATATAATATATACGTATATATTATTATTTATATATGGATATATTCTTATACACACACACATTACACATATATATATATATATATATGTATGTATTAAAGGGTGGGTATTATGTTTTTGTATTTTTATTTTTAACGTTTTCAAAAGAATTCAAGCAAAAAGAAAAAAAACTGCTCGCATTAACGAATAAAAATCATCGAATCATCTTGAATCAAACATTTTTGGATTTTGATGAAAACCTCATAATTTATTCGAAACTATCATGACGTGTATTATTGTATGCATAACACAATAACATAGAATACAAATCAAGTTGTGATGTACGTAATATATTTTGGTATTATTGATGTTGCAATATCGATTTGTGATGTGTAAGCAGTTTTTAAAAAATCCTATTGTCATTTTAAAATAGGTATTAAACTTCAAATCTAGTGCGTATTATTGTACGATTACATACTTGAATATTTTTTTTCAAAAATAATAATATTAATATTTATTTGTGTGAACCAAACACAAAGAACATTTCGACATTCATAGAAAATACAATAACTTATCAAATAGGTATAACATTTCACAATATATTATAATATCATTGATATTACATAAAATTGCAGACAAACAACAGTAGGTAATAACATTTAAACCGACCAACTGTATACGTTTTCTTTTTTAACATTTTGATTTGGTGTAATACAATATCGTTTGTAATGAAAATCGCATATACGCACAACAAAATATATGAACATATTAAACGAAATTGGGGTGCTGAACTAATTATCTCCTAAAATAATTTGAAAACATATTATCAATATCACGTCATTATAAAATTATAATGGTCTATATTATGATACCTTTGTATCGTTATTAAAATATAATAGATCGGGTAAAATATTTTCATTACACGAAGACGATATTGTTCCACAGCGTATCATTTAGGTACCGAACTTAAATATCATGTCCATGGAGAAATTAATGAACTGAAATTTATCGTTAATTATAGCCGAAAGATAAGACTGGTCGCAATTTATTATTGAACAAAAATACCATTATATTATGTAGGGTTTGAATCTGGTGAATAGTCAATAACGAACGTGATAATATTTAATACTCAGAGTATTATTCTGAGGCGACTTCCAAAAATGTAACTGCATGAGCCATGAATACTAAATGGTGAAAGTGTATTATGACAAGTGTAAGGCCCACTCAGAACAGATGTGCACACTCAAGCACCGCACGTATGTTTACATGTTAAATAATGTATTACAGTTATGACTTTAACACTATGCATGTTAAGGTTTGACGAACTACGTGTAGGTGCACGGAAATAGTAAGTTGATAATCCTTTACTGTCTGAATCGGAAAGACCGTCTCACATTTAAACATTTTTTTTCTTAGAAAACACACAGAAGAAATATTCAATTTTCGTTTTTTCATAAATAATTATCATATTTATTTCCATCATCTTATTTTATTATGATCACAATAGCGAAATAATATTCTTTTGATTCCTAAGATTTTTTTTTTATTGGGGCCAGTTCGATTTATATTAAAAAACATTAAATACGATTCATACTGAAACAATTTTTGTGGAAATAACACCGAGCACAGTGTTTTCTATACTAAATGAATCCGTTCGGACCGTTCAGATAAATCGAAATTAAAATAACAATTGAAACATTCTATAATTCAATAAGTAATTGAGTTTGTCATAAATAAAAAGCTATGTGACATTTTAATATTAAAATTATGTTGCTGTGAGCTAAGAAGTTTTCTGAAAAGTTCTTGCTACTCTAAAATGTGATCTCTTACCAATACCATCGAATATCGAATATGGGTCACCCATAAGTTTGCCATTAGCGTTGCTTGCCTTAACTTTATCACAGTTCAGCTCGTCCCCTTCGATTTCCAAAACCAACTTATATGGAATATTATCACACTGTAGTTTAAACTGCGATTTCCACGGTACTTCTTTACACTAAAACTATCAAAACTATCCTTGAAATTCAAACCATTACAATAGTTTAATATATGGTATTTGCGTATTACATGAATATTCATTACCAACATGTATTGATCATTGATAATTATTTCGCAATCAAATAAAACAATACGGGTAAAGTCATTTGTGTTTATAAATGTTGCGCCTCCTTCACAACTTCTGTTCTCTCAACTAATAGGATTTTTAATTACGTAAACCAACATTTAAAAGAAACTTTAAAATACTAAACGTAATAAATATGCATCTGTAAAAAATTCTGGATAATTAATATAATACGTTAAAAGGAAACTTCAAATAATTTATTATACGCGCACGAAATCTATTATTAAGATATGAGGTATTATTGTGTTATAATTTTGAAAATATTTGCATTGTTAAAAAAAAATTGTCTAAATTTAATACTATATCAAAACAATAATGTTATTAAATGATTTTTATCGAAATTCTTTTTGTACATAGGTATTAAACAACTTGTTTCTAAAACGTATTTAGCTTAACGTAGGTTTTGAATCAAATAAGTGTATTATTGTTTGTCTAACGTAGTATATAATAGATCGTACTGAACAATCAGCCAGATGTCTTGAAATCTTTACATACGTGATAAATTGAAACAGATTTGTGAATCGTGATGTACAATTTTTTAAGTGAAGAATATTTGTGACTCACAATCACAAATAAAGGAAAAGTTTTAATTGTATAATACATTATGTGAGCAACGGCCAACGAGCATGCAATAAACTTAAAAGGGTTCACGAGAACAATTCTTTAAATAAAACAACTCAATATTCGGTTATCAACCTCTGTGTTAATCTATAATTTATCATCATAATATTAAACAATACTACAGTAATAAAATTATAATACTCAGCTTAAACATATTTTTTTTAGTAGCCGGAAGTTTGCCTATACTTCGACGTGGTCAAATTATTCACCAACCAATGATATTATGCAGACGTTTTTCACTTAATTATAATAAATAGGGATAATGTTTCGTTTTCGGTTAAACAATGATGACATTACTCATCCGGAGTCAACGATGTGAAATGTTTCGGTAACATCATAATACGGTCGTTGCACGGTTCACAATAACCGAATAGAAACGTATTAATATTATCGACGTCCGTCGAAGAAGAGAACATTGTATTATTATTGAAAGGAGAGGCGGCCGCATATCATTATTGTTGTTGTGGGCTGTCGGGCGGGTGGGCGGGACACGCGTGAAGCCGTATTATAGCTACATGCGAGTTCATACTCGCACAAAAATTGATCCATAACATTATACACATACATTGGCCTCGCCAATCGTACATCACTGTCATCGGATTCTCGCCGTTGCCCGAATGATAGATTCGACCACTTAATATTTACCGACGGTCCCGGCAACGACGATGTAATGTTGTTTGTGCTCGTGTAAAAAATTGTTACCGCGTTTGCGGCCGAGGGTTTCCGTCCTCGCGTCAAACCCCATCACCCAACCCCACCCACAATCCGACCACAATTTATATGGCATGCATGTTTGTTTGCTTGCTTGTTAGACATACCTACGTGCACGTGGCAATAGTTGAATTTATTTCGGGTTCCGTATAGGTGGAATCAGACGACGGGCGGAAAAAGAGAAAAACTATTCACGTCGTATTATCATCATTATACCTACGTTCGATATCGTTCAGTCACGGTTGGCAATCAATTTGGATGTTACGATCGTTTTGTTCCCATTTGATTTTTTTTTTTATGAAACATTTTAAAAACGACTTTGAATCGTATTTTTTGTTTGCCTCCGTGTGCGTATATATTATATTAATATTATAACACCATAATATGCTACGGACTTAAATGTCTAATAACAGGATAGCAAACAGTATTGCAGACTATTCAAAAATATCAATTTGTTAAGTCTGCGAGGATGAATTATTTAAAATTAAAATACTAAAATACCAAAAAAATATATTTCACCGTTTGCAGTAGTTTAATTACCCAAGACGCTCTACGCATAATATAAATAAATTATTAAGTTTTTTTTTATTATTTTCCAAATGGTTCTAATAATATTTTTTTTAATGTGCTCAAGTATTACGAGACTCCTCCGGAAAAAAAACAAATATGATAGCGTCTGGATCAACTCGCCAGTACCAGTCCCTAATTTTCAACTCCACAACTCTACGTTTTGACTCTGGATTATAAATGTTATTTCATTTTCATTTTTATAATGTATTTTCTGTGTCATCGATTAATGTAATTACTGACATCAACCATTGTCTGTATGAAGGCATCTATTTCATGGTTACTGTGACCGGAAAACTTGATAACAGTTATTTTTCAGTGTTTTGAATTGCTCACTTTTAAGGACAAGAGAAATCACAGTGCATTTATGATTTATTGGTCCTATTGAATTTATGGACATGTCCTGGAAGTTAATAGTTAAAACGAACTTGAGAGGATTGGGTATTGAAATTATATAGCAGTTTAGGGTCATATTACCCTAAATTGTCTTATCTGTATTCAGCCACTGAATACGAAAATACTAAGTCTTTCATACTTGACATAATAACATGCTGATAATATGACAAGAATGTAGTTAAGTTTAAACTGATTTTCGATATTCGTTTGGTATAATAACGAAAAAACCCCTTAAATAAACAATCTTTTTCAGATGTTATTTCTATTTTATATATATTTCAAGATAAAAATTCAAAAATTAATGGATAGTCATTGTACCGGTTATTTTAGTGTGTACTAAAACGTTTGAGATGATTGGGTCCCTCTTCTTTTTAA